GTGTGTACAACAAAGTACAGCACAACACAAAGAATGTGAAACTAATGAAAATGGGTGCGCAACTGCTTCAATAAACAACAATGTTTGAGATGTTCAGATGGATATTATTTGTCAAATAATAAATGTGTATCAGCAACTAATTGTGTAAACAAATCTACATTATCTAAAGTGTCTTGTAACTGTTCGTATCAAATATCAGTAAACTCTGATTGCCAAAGCGCTGTATCAAAATGCAAATATCAGAAAAACTACAAAAATCAAATGGAATGCATTCAATGTGAAGATAAATATGTTTTTAACGATAATATTTGTCAAAATGTTGCTAACATATCAACTCGAAACAATGTCGTTTATCAATGTGAAAATGGCAATTATTTGAATGAAAACAATCAATGTGTAAAATGTACAGACAATTCATTGATTTGTATAAATTACAATTCAAACACTATAATTATGACTTGTGTAAAAAATAAAGTTTATGACGTTGAAACAATGAGTTGTATTGGTGATAATAATTGTTTGAAATACAGCAAAGATTATTGTTCACAATGTGTTGATGTTAACATGGAACTAAAATATGGTAAATGCTCAGTGTGTTCAATACCAAATTGTAAATGTTGTGAAGGTGGAAAATGCAAAAAGTGCAATGAAAAATACGTGATACAACCAAATGGGTTTTGCGTTGAACAAAGTGAAGTTGGGTGTGTCAAAGCTGATGGTCTTTTTTGTTTGCAATGCAATGAAGGGTTTAACCCGATAGAAACTCTCAACAAAGAAGGAAAATACGATTTTTGTATTCCAATTTCTCAATCTCAAATAGCTGACTGTAAATACTCACTGATTTCAAAATCAATATGTGTTGAATGTTTGGATAGTTTCAATTTGAAAGGTGGAAATTGTTCAGAAAATTTTGATGATATTGATGACGATGTTACTAACACAAAACAAGTGATAAAAGGTGTTGAAGTTTCATGTTTTACTCGAAATAACAAAGGGTGTGAAAGATGCAGTTCTGGTTATTATAACATTAACAGCGAATGTGAGATGTGTTCAAATCACTGCGATAATTGTTATAATACAACTTATTGCTTGACATGCGATCCACAGTATTACCTGTCCTCCACCTTTACATGTGAACCACTTGACAATTTATTTACAAAATATGAATTGACTCTGCCAACAGGTGGTGGATGTGTGATTTGCAAAGACCAGTACTATAAACAAAAAACAGACTGCATTTCTTGTGATGAATCGTGTGGTACTTGTGTTGATGGCACTTCTTGTTTGACTTGTCAAAATCAGTATTTCAAATTTTCTGGCAGTGAAAATAAATTGTGTGTATCATATGACAACTTGACTAATTGTGAAACTAAAACGCCGATTGGGTGTGTAAAATGTGAGAATGGATATTTCTTAGATAATTACATTTGCAAAAGTTGTTCTGATAACTGCATTTCGTGTGACAACGATCAAAATTGTAAAATCTGTGTTGAAAACGATTATGTGTTGGTTGACTCGCAGTGTGTGAATTACAAAAATATTGAATTTTGTTTGTCTGCATACAATTCAAAGTGCACAGAATGTGAAGGCTTTCACAAACCAAGTGATGTTGGTGATTACTGTGTCAAAGAGACAAATTATGGGTTGGTAGTTGGTGTTCCATTATCAGTCACTTTTGTGATCATAGTGTTTATTGTTGCAATAATAGTAATAGTGATATCAATGATACAAAAGAAAAAACAAAAGAAGAAAGAGAAGAACATTTGCAACTTCAAGATGAGTCGGTCCAACATTGAGATGGTCAAATTAAGTGCTAATTTGGTGTCAAACAAGACAACACTGAAATTTGATTTGGATAACAATGACCCACTGAAAGTCGACATTGAGACAAGAGATTTGTTATGTATCGGAAATGTGACTAAAAGCAATTTAAAAGTTCAATTCAGTGTAATAGAAGGGTGTGACTATTATGAAATACGAAGTGTGCCACCACTTGTGACATTGAAGCCTGGATATGCTTGCGAATTTGAGATATTCATCAAGCCGTTGTGCACTTGTGTCACCAAAGAACATGTAGCAATCACTTCATTGAATATAGCAACCGGTGTCATTGAAAATGCAAAAGTTGAAATGGAAATCGAAACTGAACAAACAACTAAATTGAATTACAGAGAAAATATCGAAGACGAGAAGCTTGGTGAAGGAAGTTTTGGAATAGTTTTTAAAGGGCAATACAGAGGCGTCTGTGTTGCAATCAAAAAGATGAAACAACTTGATAATTATGAAAGTGGACTTGAAGAATTTGAAAAGGAAGTTGCCATGTTAGACAAGTTTAGGTGTGATTACATCATACACTTCTATGGTGCTGTGTTTATACCAAGTAAAGTGTGTATGGTTACCGAATTTGCAGCATTTGGGTCACTCCAAGACTTGATCAAACACAAGAAGAGTGATGAAGTTGATATGAAGTTGCGAATGAAATTTTTGTTGGATGCGGCAAAAGGCATTCAATATTTACATGAAAATGGGATATTACACAGAGACATCAAGCCAGACAATTTCCTGGTGTTATCACTCGATGTGAATGAAATAGTGAATGCAAAATTGACAGACTTTGGGTCGTCGAGAAATGTGAATATGCTGCAAACCAACATGACATTCACAAAAGGTGTTGGCACACCAATCTACATGGCGCCAGAGATTTTGAAACAGGATAAGTACAAAAAGAGTGCAGATATTTATTCATTTGCAATCACTATGTTTGAGACTATTTCTTGGAGAGAAGCATTTCCAAAAAGTGAATTTAAATACCCATGGAAAATACCAGACTTTGTTAATGGTGGAAATCGTCTCCAAAAAATTGATTGTATGACTGACGAACAATACGAACTAATATCTAACTGTTGGGCTCATAACAAAGAAGATAGAATCACTATTGAAGCTGCAAAAGAAAAACTTGAAATTTTGTTAAAATGACTTTTTGAATAAAATATTTTTATTTCATTTTTTTATTGTTTAATAAACATTAAAATTATTTATTTCATGTTTTTATTAATTTTATAAATAAACTGTTTTTCAAAACTCTGTACTGGGATGCCCCGATTTTTTAGACAAATAATTTCTAAATAATTTTTCCTTTGCTTAACCCTCATTTTTTGTTATAAATATTTACTCGTAAAAAACAAAATAACGAACCTGACTTTTTTAAATTTTACTTGACAAATAAATCTTGAACCAAAAATTTACTTGAAAAATATAATAATAAACTTGGGATTAAAATTTTGATTACCATAACACAATTTTTGCCAAAAACATAAAACACAACTTTATAATTAAAATGTCCATGTTTACAGAATCACCAAGTTGTGTTTTGGATAAAAATGAAAAGTACTAATGAGTAAAACAAGCATTGAGAGAAGATAAATTGGTTAAGGCTATACAATTGAAAAGTTTTTTTTAATTTTTGAACTGTTTATTTTATTTAAGACTCTTTTGATTAATAACCTTGATTGTTTAAATGTTTGTTTTATGTTATCGATGACTTTTTTAATTGTTGAAATAAACAAAAACTTATTATTAATTTAAGTGTTGTATCATTTGATGCAATAACGTCCTTCATCACAACATTGGTTCATCGTTATATTATCGTTTATTTTATGTTTATTTGAAAGATAGAATTTTACTGACGTTTAGTAACAAAATAAACCACTGACCAAATAACGAACCTGGAAAATCGGGGAAGATTTACCCAATATTTGGGTGATTTCCCGATTTTTTGTTCGATAATTGAAACTGTATTGGTTTTTAAGGGTTTTAAACTGTGCACCGTTGTTGGTTCAACAAATAGGAAAATAAAAAATAAAACAAATAAAAAATAGTAAATAACGGGAAATTAGGACAAAGGGTTTATATAAATTTTGGAAACGGTACAGAGTTTTGGAAAACAGTTTATATTGTTATGTTTAGTTTAAGAATTTTTAACAAATAAGTAATGGTAATTCCATTTTTTTAAGTTTTTGGTGTTTCATT